AGATGATTATTCTTACACAATCAGTTCTTGTTTAGTAAATCAGTCTGAAAACAAGATGAAAAAGACTTTTTGGCTGATATAAGGTTTTAAAACTTGGTAAGATGGACAGTTTCTCTGTTTGGTTCGGCTGATTTCATGGTTTCAGGGCAGTAGGAGGTCAGAGTCTGTAAATCAGAGACCGACTCAGATTTCAGAGTTTTTCCTCGAACATCAGCAGCAACAACAGATCTGAGCTTCATGTCAGAACACGCCTGATCCCAACACGCTACACCGAGCACACTGCACTGTATCAGTGTTTTCTATTTTATATTCTAATAACAATACTTTTTATTTATAGGTGCCTCTCACCCACTGAGGTCAACAATAAAATCACAGAACAGTAAACAATAAAAACAATAAAATAACAGAATAGAACTGTGCAAATAAATAAGCTCCAACAATAAATAATAACCAGTCATTTAAGTCATCAGAGATGAATGGTTCTACTGGTACAGCTTTAATAAACAGATGAGATTTAAGATGATAATGGAATCTGAAAAAGTCCTGAGGCAGAGGGATCCAAAGACGGGGGGGCCGAGCGGCTGAAGGATCCTGACCTCATGGTGGTCCGGTGAGCAGAGGGAACGATGAGTAAGAGGAGGATCTAAGGTTACAGGTGGGAGTTTAATCATGGAGAAGTTAATAAATATACAGAGGAGAGATGAAAGAAGCAGGATCTTGTGGATGATGTGATATTTAACAGGAAACCAGTGAAGCTGCAGTGGGACTGGTGTCATGTGACAGATGGAGGGGGTYCTGCTGACGATACCAGCAACAGAGTTTAGAACAACTTGGACTTAATGGAGGAGTTTTTCAGACAAACTAAAGAGAAGTGAGTGACGGTGATGAAGGTGAGATGTGAGCAGATGTGAATCACAACAGTTCTGTTGTTGGGATGTCCAAACATTTTGTCACGTGGGCCAAAATCATAAAGTCAGAAGGACATGAGGGCCAAAAATATTTTTCCTTTACCTTCTCAACAATAAACCAAACGTTGAATACTTTAATTAAACAATAAAGTAGTCAGATTTATTGTTGGAAATGGATGTAAATTAATCTAGATCCAGAACTTTAAAGTGTTTTGCATTTTGCAATTTTCTAGGTTTATATTGGGGGAAAATAACCCAATTATGTCAATTCCAGTCAATAAAATCATGATTTATGTCACTCTTGTTGAAAATGCTTGCTGTATTCAGATCAATTTAATAAATTAATTAAAAGCAGATTGGATCACGGCAGAATCAGCTTTTCAATAGAAGTCAATAGATAGATGAAAAGCTAAGAGTCTGGTTATTTAAAGACAAATGATTGGTATTGTTGCCAATAGTTTTTATTACTTTGTGATAAATTTGCCCTAAAAATAAACAGAAAGTCTCCATCTACATCAAACACCTGTGCTGGGGGGGGG